CCAATCCCAGGATCCGCTGCCCCATCTGCGGCCCGGGACCGGCTCGGGAGGGCGTCAGGAGGGAGGTCAGCATCTTCCTCCTTGCTGAACTCCCTCCGTGCTGTGAATGCAGAAGTAAATACATCACTTCCTCATTCATCTGTCAGTCATCTGGCTGCTATAGCCAGAGAGAAGAAGCTGATGAAGCAGATCTCTGCTTCATCAAATTCTTTTGGGGTCCCCAGGTGACATTAGGGATCTCTAAGACCCCTAATGCCTCCATAAAGAGGACCTGTCCGTGTGCCTTTGCTATTATATAGGGGGATTGTTATCCCCCTATGTAATAGCAATAACAAGTGTAAAAAAAAAAACATAAGAGTAAAAAAATAAATAAGTAACAAAAAAGTAACCCCCCCCCCCAAATGTAAACACATATAAACGTAAATACGCGTTCACGGCGCCAAAATGCCAATTGTGCTTTACATGTTACATATCGCTGCGAACATCGGAGTGAGAGCAATCATTTTAGGGCCATCAATCACTGATAACACTAAACTGATGAGCAGTAAAAGCTTTTAAAGCGTCGCCTATGGCCAATTTTGGGTATTATCGTTTTTTTAAGTTTCGTGCGTCCGCACAATTTTAAGGCTTGACATGTTTGGTGTCTTTTTACCCGACACAAGCCCCGTCTTTTATATTTTACCAAAAAATAGGGTAATAATAAATGTTTTATCATTTAATATAGGGGAACCAGTTTAAAAAAAAGAAAAAATATTTCGGTACTTTTCCCTTAATATAGTAAAAAAATAAAACCCCCCAGTGGTGATTAAATACCACCAAAAGAAAGCTCTATCTGTCCCTAAAAAAATGGTATAAAATTTATTTCAGTGCAGCTCTATCTGTCCCCAAAAAAATGGTATAAAATGTATTTCAGTGCAGCTTTGCATGACGGAATACACGTCAAAGTACTGTAGCGCTGAACACTGAAAAATGGCCCAGATGGGAAGGGGGTTTAACACCGCGGACTTGAAGTGGTGAAGACAGATGTTCCAGCTGAGTCGTGTGTAGAGAATAATAAATAAAGTCGGAGAACAGGTCCATATGAAATAACCTTAAAATATCTGGGATCCTGGAATGCTTCAAACAATTCTCCTCGGCAGATTAGTTTGTTTCCAAGCGAATGAAAACTGCGAGAGAACTTACCTTTGTACCTCGATAATGGACCAATTTCTTATTTTAATAAAGTCAGTAATCTTTTAAAGATTACTGGTTCTTGGGAAACTCGAGTACGAAAGTTTATCTGTACTATTCAGGCACAGAAAAAAACAAAACCTTAGTAACCAGATCAAGTGAGCTTATTTACCCAGAACAGGGCCCAGATTGGTGAAGGTACACAAGAGTGATCACGTTGACCTGCTTAAGGGTGAATAAATTCACTAGAGCAGATTACAAGAGTTGAGATGTCACTGCATTCTTTGCCTGGACTGCTTTAGAAATCACGGGCCATATTTTCTAGTTATTCTCCTCCTCGGCAGATTAGGTTGCTCCCAAGCTAATGAAAACTGCAAGAGAACTTACCTTTCAGTGTGGTGTACGGAGCATACACTGGCTGCACAGGGGGTGCTAGTGGAGTACTAGTAGCCAGGGGCGTAACTAGAAATCACAGGGCCCCATAGCAAAATTTAGTATGGGGGCCCCCGTGATTTCTAGTTATACCCTTTGCAGAGCCCACTCGAGGGTGAACTTGCAGAGCCCACCATAGACTCTCTATAGTGGGCTCTGCAGGGTCACCCTCAGGTGGGCTGGTCGCACTCCTTACCTCCTCCGTCCTCGGGCCCGCCTCCTTCTTTGTCACCGAGCCCCGCCTCCTCCTCCCCTGCTGCCGAGCAGGGGCCCCCGCCTCCTCCTCCCCTACCGGTGACGTCAGAGGTTCGCGAGGTTGATGAGGTTGACAGATTACCAGGTCCAGCCTGCTCCACCTCCGCTGCTGGCTCTCATTGACTCTGTGGAGACGAACGCGCTGCTGCACAGATGATCTGAACAGCGGCGTGTTCGTTTTCAGCCGCCAGTGAAAGCCACCAGCGGAGGATCCCATAGCGACCCAGGCAGCCCGCACGGTATCTGGCCGGGCCCAGTGGGTGATTGTTACGCCACTGCTTGTAGCGTAAAAGGTGTGAACGGAGTGGGCAGTGAGAGGTGACAGAGTGGTATGGGCAAGTTCATTTTCTTACATTTTGTGAGACAGTGGACTTACCCTTTAATAGTCACATAAACTAAACCTTTTCCAGAATACTTACTCAACTGGGGGAATTTAAACAAAAAAAGATCAGTTCTACCTCAACAATGATCTGTCCATTTCACAGATACCACATGGCCAATGTTTCTGGATAAGGAATTTTTCCCTTTTCTGTGGTGACACTACAGTCTTAAAAGGAGAACTATGAGGTGAGTGCTTTTCACTCACCTCATAGTTCTAGCCGACCTGTGACAATGAGACTGTCACAGGTCGGCTCACTAGATCGGGAGGTGAGCAAACACCCCCTCCCCGCTCCGCCAGCGCTGACTGGCGGAACGGACGGGGGAGGGTACAGCTGGCTCTGCCTCTAGATAGGCAGTGCCAGCTGTCAATCACGCAGCTGGGCGGATCCGGCACAATTGTCGGTATCCGCTTCAGCTGCGGCGTCTCAGTATACCGCGAGCAGCAGCTCGCGGTGTCTCAGTATACCGAGAGCTACAGCTCGCGGTATACTGAGCTTAGGGTGACGGGAGGATGCTAGTTTGTGTCCTCCCGTTACCCTAAGGAGAACTATGGGGAAAAGCCTTAACCCCATAGTTCTCCTTTAATGTTTACTTTAAGATGATCGGTCCAATTTAACAGTGGCAAATCAAGTCCAAAGTGGCAACGTTTTCTGGATGTTCTGGGGTTACCCTATATTGTTTCAGTGTATAATGAAAAACATGGAAGTCCATAGAACAAAACACAATAACAACAGGTTGGCATTTAAGATAACTATTTTCTCATATGCAGCTTCAACTACATTCTGAATACATGTTTGTTATCACAGATTGCAAGGTGCTTGAGGTTGCTGCTTCCAAACAAAATTGCAGAGAATGTCAAAACAACATACATCTTATTCATAAAACTGAAAGAAAGGCCAAAAAATATATCAGTCCATTTCATGGTAACGAGTGCTTCTCCTCCCATGTCCTTGGAAAAGTGCGAGAAATCCCCACCAGCTATTCTTACACACAAAAGAAAAAAAAAAAAAGCTACAAAGATCTACATGTCCACTGCAGGTCACTCTTCGTCTGAGGAACTCTGGTCAAGAGTGTAAACCATAAACAAAACTTCTGGACGTGCTGGTACGCAGGGGTGCCCGGGACGCACAATCTCAAAGCCCAGAAAGCTAAATGTCTTCATAAGCGGACCTATGAAAAGAACAGAAATTAAAATGAGAAAAGAAACAAATGGCCTTGTGTTCCTGGAATTTCCAAAGTATTCAAACCTGTCTGCATTCCATTTGGCATTTTCTTTTTAGATAAAATATGCATCTAAGCCAGTCAAGAACATTTAATGTAGAAACAAAGACCCTCATGTTTAAAAGTACTATGGGGGGAATTTATCAAAACTGGAGCAGAGAAAATCTGGAGTGCATGGTAACCAATCAGCTTCTCTCTTTAGTTTGGTCAGTTAAGATTTGAAAATGAAAGGGAAGCCGATTGGATGCCGTGCACAGATTTTGTCTGCTCCAGATTTTGATAAATTACCTTCTATGTATCCATTTTAATATGCATTTATTTTTTGATCCTGGAGACGCAACAGAAGTAAATAAAGTGACAAAGTGAAGGGATTTCCCCTTTACACAGTTCTTACTGTCCCTACTCATGTCCTGTTTTGCGGACATTTTGGATTTCCCATTCCTTCTTTCTGAGGCAAATGGCCACCGGGGGAAAAGGAGAGCAAACTAATTAGCAAGGACACAGGCAGCAAAAAACAAACAAACAAAAAAAAACCTTCCTATTAACTCCCTACACTTACCAAAACTGGAAAAAAATGTAAAAACCTGTTTTGCCTATACCCAAAGTTTCAAGTGAACTTGAACTTCAAAAGTGAAGATTATAGGGAACATCAATGGAAAATGTGCCTAAGCAGTATGCTGAAAAACCTACCATTCGTTTTGAATTCTTCCTGAAAATAGCAGTGCACTTGTTAGTATGTGAAGTATATAGGGACTCCTTTGTCTAGAGCTTCATAGCTGTGTATCTGCAGTGTGAAATCTAAAAACACTACTGCCACTGAGTGCTAGTCCCAGGAAATTTGGAGTGAGATTTAGTGATGTCACTACTGTGTAGTTCACAGTTACTGGAGGCTCCGACAAGAGGAAGCAAAATCCTGTATATACCACGGCTGCCACCTTTACACAGAGACACAGTACAGAACAAGACACGGGTAAGTCAGTAATGAGGAAAAGATCAGTTGAATGGATATCACAGGCTAAACTGGTGAATAGTCATTTGTCAGCCTTCCTGTTTTTTTGGACACAGCTTACAGAGTGCAGTTTCTCTTTAAAATCTGGGCATGTGGCGTATGACTTGCTTGTTACTGTACTTTTTCCTGTTCTTTCCTCTCATCATTCGTTCCACTATAACATCTTTGCAAACTCTAAATTAAACGGTACTTGTTTTTCTTTTTTTTAAATAAACTAGGCACACATGCTACGTTCTGTAAACCTTGTAACTATGGAGTGTATTCTATGAAAAAGTATTCAATTAGGCCAACCGGATTAAAGAGAAGTTATTTAGTTAAGCTCTCAACCATGTTGTGGTCCAAAACTCCAAAGAAGATTGTACAAATCAGAATTTGTGGTTTACTTCTCACAAAACGTGGAGATTTTAATGGCTCTGGAATGCAGGGTTGTAATTCTAGAATTTGATCTTATGGAACAGAGATCACTTAAAATGACCTCAGCCTATCTAGAACGATGACTACTACTTGCCTGTATAGCTGATCACATATCATGGGCATTGCGTTGGTTTATCAGAAACTAACTTTATCTTAGAGAAAAAACAAACTTCAGCATGATCTGAAATGTGTGTATAAAAGCCTAAAAACAGTGGCGACTCTAGGAACAATATTTAGGGGGGGCACATAAGATACCACAGTCAGATCTGGGGGGGCACTAATAATTTTCATTGCATGTCGCAACCGATGGGCGCCGAGAGCTGATTTAATTGCGGATGGCATCTGCGTCCTGCAGTTGCGACAGAAGCTGCATACAGCGCGTGCCGGTTACTATTTAAACTGGCGCGCTGTGTGCAGCTTCTGAGAAGATACGCTATTAGCATAGCGGGGAAGCTGGCTGCGCATTTTGCATCGATCCCGCTACGCTAATAGTGTATCTTCTCAGATGCTACACACAGCGCGCCGGTTTAAGTAGTAACCAGCACACCATGTATGCAGCTTCTGACAGCATGGGAGACGGGAGGCTGCACTTGTCGGTGGATCCAGGGATCAGATGAGTATTAAAAAATTTTTTTTTTATTTTATGTTATGTTTTTTAAATGCGTGTGTTCGCAGGGTCTGGGGCCTTTAATTTTATGGTGGATTTTTAATTTTAGTTTAACTTTATTTTTTTAAACTTTTTTTGTATTTTTTTACATTTTTAATTAACTTCATTTATTTTTTTACATATTTTTTACTTCTTATTAATTTAACTTTATTTTTTAAACTTTTTTGAATTTTAATGTGGTGGGGGCGAGGGAAGCCTTTGCAGAGAACAGCTGCTGTCCACAAATACAAATAAATTTGTATTTATGGCCAAGGCCTGAGTAGTTTGTGCCACACCCCTAAGAACTTTGATATAAAAAAGGAAAGAAAAAAGATGGGGGGTTTTTGGGCACCTAATGACAAATCCAAAGCAATTTAGCAGTAAAAAAGTATTTTTAATCTTAGTAATATTTTAAAAGATTGATTCACATATAGTACCAAGTAATAAAAACAACCGGCTGATCAGATGTCTCCTTATACGCTCACTCCATTTATACCACCCATTTCAAGAAAGACATGATAGCATGATTGAAAAATTCATTGAATACATGATTGAAAAATTCATTTGGGTTCATTCAAAAGTGGAGGGACATAGGCTTTGCTCACTCCACCTATGAACATCCCATTCAAGAATACATGATAGAATGGTTAATTAATAGCATGATTAGAATAATAGATACATGAATAAGGATGGTTGAGAATGGGGGAGCGAATATTTGTCTCAACGTTTCGCGCTCAGAGGCGCTTCTTCAGGAGATGGAGAGAATCAATTTAGCAGGTTGACGTGCTTGTATCGAAGACGACCCCAACCGGGCAGTACACCAAAACAGGGAAGAGGGAGAGGAGCGAGGACCAAACCCTGTGCTGTACTGGGTACGGGGGGCTCGGAGGTGTTTGGAGGACAGGAGTCCCTGTGAGTTTGTGGGGCCTCCATGTGAGGCAGTGTCTAGGTGAACAAGTGACCCAAATCCTGCGGTTCTTTATGCCATACAAGGCGTCCCTATTATTCTATGCCTACCACCTCAAACTGCTTGACACAGGGTTTGGTCCTCGCTCCTCTCCCCTGGGAGGACTGTTTTGGTGTACTGCACGGTTGGGGTCGTCTTGGATACACGCATGTCAGCCTGCTAAATTGATTCTCTCCATCTCCTGAAGAAGCGCCTCTGAGCGCGAAACGTCGACACAAATATTCGCTCCCCCATTCTCAACCATCCTTATTCATTTATCTATTATTCTAATCATGCTATTAATTAACCATTCTATCATGTATTCTTGAATGGGATGTTCATAGGTGGAGTGAGCAAAGCCTATGTCCCTCCACTTTTTAATGAACCCAAATGAATTTTTCAATCACGTATTCAATTAATTTTTCAATCATGTTATGTCTTTCTTGAAATGGGTGGTATAAAAGGGAGTGAGTGTATAAGGAGACATCTGATCAGCCGGTTGTTTGTATTGCTTGTACTGTATGTGAATCAATCTTTTAAAATATTACTAAGATTAAAGGAGAACTATGAGGTGAGTGCTTTTCACTCACCTCATAGTTCTAGCCGACCTGTGACAATGAGACTGTCACAGGTCGGCTCAGTAGATCGGGAGGTGAGCGAACACATACCGGCGTTCGCTCACCTCTCGATCCTGTCACGGCTCTCTGCCGTGACAGGGGAGGGGCTGGATTTCCCCCTCCCCGCTCCGATCCGCCAGCGCTGACTGGCGGAACGGACGGGGGAGGGGGCGGGTACAGCTGGCTCTGCCTCTAGATAGGCAGAGCCAGCTGTCAGTCACGCAGCTGGGCGGATCCCAGCACAATTGTCGGGATCCGCTTCAGCTGCGGCATCTCAGTATACCGCGAGCTACAGCTCGCGGTATACTGAGCCTAGGGTGACGGGAGGACACTTATTTGTGTCCTCCCGTTACCCTAAGGAGAACTATGGGGAAAAGACTTAACCCCATAGTTCTCCTTTAAAAATACTTTTTTACTGCTAAATTGCTTTGGATTTGTCATTAGGTGCCCAAAAAAACCCATCTTTTTTTCTTTCCTTTTTCTATCATATAAACTAAGCTGCTGTGCTGTCCCCCCAGGCCAGACACCAAGCCTCAACTGCTGCTATCCCCCCAGCCAGCCCGAGACACATCTCACTCAGCTGCTGCTGCTGTTCCCTTCCCCCCAGCTCTAGATCGTTGCAGGCTTACCTTACCAGTGCAGTGACTGGACTTCACTACACACAGCCTCGAACAGCCATCAAGCTCTGCCACTCTGCTGTAAAAGCTCCGCGGCCGCCCCTGAGAAAAAAACCCTTCCTGCACGTGGGCAGGAAGGTACCAAAACATCAAATTGGACGGGATTTAATGTGAAGTCAGAAAGACCATATACTAAGAATTCGGGCCAGATGGACACCATTCTTCGGAGTAACAAACTGATTTGCTACTAGAAAGCATTTCCTATATCTAACAGTTTGATAAATGCAATCGCCTGTTCCTCAGACTTTAATCCTCTCTGGTACCATATAATGTTTAAAAAGCAGGAATTTAAAAGGGCCTATTTTGTAAAAGTTGAGTTAAGAAAACGCGGGCAGTTACACATGGAAACCAACCAGATTTTCTCTCTCCAGCAGTGCAAAAATAAAACCTGGATTATATCTCATACAGGTGAGAGCCGTAGTTTAGTTTTCATAAATAAGCCAGAAACATGAAAGGCTTTCTAACAAAAAGGTGCGGACACATTTATGTAGTATTTAGGAGCAGCAGGTACATGCGCTTTTATGTATAATAAAAAAGTGCACAGACAGGTGCCAGCAGTAACATATTGGGCACAATGGTTTACAGGTTCTTGCCAATACTGACTATTTACCTAAATGTTGAGATTTCAAAGCACAAATGCTGATCTGACCCGTGTGTGCCCAGATAAACCAGCTGATATAAAAGTACACAAGAGATTTACTTTCAGAGGTAAGCCATCCAATCCCATGGATATTTATAGATGCCTTGTCAATTAATTCCTGTAGCCGTAAGCAGGTCATGACTTGCCAAGAGACTGTTGGATTATTTTGCTATAAATTACCACAAGCTTTGTCTGTTGGGCTCTGTAAAGAGATTTTCCAACCCGGACTTGAAGCACACTTCACTCCAAACCTGACCAATATGAATTAAGTATGCCACCACATCTAATTATTGCCAGTTTCTCTACTCAGCTTCACTACTCTAATGATACTGTACCCCTGAGTATATCTGAAAGCCTCAGTTCTTTAGGGACCAATCCCTGCATATTTAAGACCCTTCCAACTAACTGAACCACATGGCACCTTCCTTCCCACCAAGATGTCACAGTGGGAGCAAAAAAACTGAACCGCCATTACATGCATTGGGGAAAGTTTATGAATTGCAGGTCACAATGGAAGCAGTCTACTTTCCTCACCTCTCAAGAATAGCAAAATGACATGCAATATAGAAGAAAAGCAAAAATCTGTGCCGAGAGAACATAGGATCAAATCCAACCATATAACGGATAACTGGTCACTCCACTAAACTAAAGGAGTGAAAAATGCAGCAATCCGGTCCTCAGAGTAAACCTATTATAGTCGAAATAAGGTGGGAGCTGTTGCTTACCTCCTTCTGAAAATGCTAGTTGTCTGGCTTTTATATTGACCCTCTTTCTTCAATACCTTTATAAATCATGGACCTGGTACAAGTATGCAGATTGGCGAAGTCAGAACTCCTTATTTGCATGCTTGTACCCCAAACATCTGCATGGCATCCTGGCAACTAGTATTGCCAGAAGTCGAGGAAAATAATGTCAGACTCCATTTTGCTCTCATAACAGGTTACCTTTAAAATTATAGAAGCTACATTTAGTAGGATTTTCATCACAATGAAGGAAGCAATTATTTGTATTAAATGCAACTACCACAAATCAAAATAACCACTAGGAATGGTTGCAGTATCAGTTCCATACACATACCTCTGTCTTCACGGCCCTTTCTAAAGCAGATAAAGACATATCTGACTTTCATCTTTTCTTCTGCAAACTCTAGAAGAGCCAGTAACCTGGAGATAGACATTTCACTGATCAGTATGGACCAAAAAACAAATGTTGCTCAAAGTGCAGCAATGACATAAAAAACAACATACAGTAAACTCCCCATTATCCGGCATTCAAGCAACCGGCACAACATAAATAAATGAATGAAAATTGAGGACATACTGTAAACTCCCAGTTATCCGGCACCCACGGGGATCGGTAGGTGACGGATAACTGTGTCAAATAACTAACCGTTCCCTGCCGCGGCCCCAGTCACCTGCAGGCTAGCTTCTGCAGCTGACAGGTGAATGTCAGCAGCCGGGATCAATAGCCAGACTTCTATTGGCTTTTTTAAATTGCAATAGCCAATAGCAGATTGGCTGATGAAGCACCGCCCACTGAGCAGAGGTGCGGAACTGAGGAGACCAAGTAGGTACGTGCAAGATAAACAGGAGTTTCTGGTTGCTTGAGAGTTGATAGCAACTCTCAAGCAACCACCTCCCCAATCCCCTCACGGCGCTGCCAGCAGCCCAGAGCAGAATATAAACAATGGGGAAAAATAGCTAGCCTGCTATTGCAATAGCCAATAGCAGGCTGGCTATTGAAAACCCACCTAAGCAGAGGAGTGGACCTGAGAAAGTTCTCTCTCAGGTCCACTCCTCTGCTCAGTGGGCGGGCACAAAAGCCAGCATGCTATTGCAATTTGAAATAGCCAATAGCAGGCTGGCTATTTCTCGCCATTGTTTACATTCTGCTCCGGAGCGTGGACTCTAGCTGCAGGCTGGCAGCAAAATATAAACAAATAATTTTGTTCACAACTAAATAAATGTAGTTGGCAACAAAATTTTTAGTGTGCAACAAGCTACCGACAATATGTTAATGCACATCAAGGATAAAAAAA